TTTTTCACCTCATGGCACACATAAACTAATTACTAAAATTCTACAGCACAAAAAGCATATTTTTTGGCCAATCTGACAAAAAAACCCATTGATATAATTTTTAATTTATAAATAATATATAAAAATAGTAATTACTTACCCTTCTTTCCTCCAAAGTGACTATTTAAAAAGTCAGGTGCCTATTCTTATATGTAAGGATTTCTGGTACCAAGAATTAACTAATCAGATGTAAAGTTATTATGTAACATGACCAATAAGATGTAATTCCATTATATCGCCTATATATTTATGGTTCAAAACAGGGCATTCACACCAAACAGCTACTGTTGTGTTGGTAGTTGTCATTTTTTTAATTCCACAATCTTGGGGAAAAGAGGTCAGCGCCCCTGACTAAATAGTCAGGTACTGCACGTTTTAAAAATCCTTGTAGCACACCAGTGTGCCGTGGCACTCTGGGTCAAAACTGCCGTCTTAAACTATTTACTCTCCCTCCCACTAGCTCGTGCCTCCACAGGGGCAGGGAACTTGTTGCTGGGTTTCCAGCGTATTGCCAATGCTTAGAGGTCTTGGCATGGCAGGTGAGAGTGGCCTGACTTTGGCCTCTAAGATTAACCCCTTCCTGGTTGAATTTTCTAGAGACCCACAGGGATCTCTAGAAAATTTGTGGTAGCCACTGCTCTCTTAAATCTGTACACATTGATTTAAACAAAGAGATGGTCTTCATATAACATTATCCTCATCTTCTTTGGTGAATTAAGAACTGGATTTTCCTAGTATTTATAATTTATGGAATAAAGATTTCCTGAAAGATACCTAAATATGACATTAACTGAGCATTTTTAGGACACATACCTTCTGTTATATGTCCTCATCTTTTTGATTAAAGTTACATGGTGGTGTTTCATTTTCTAGGCTGTCTTCAGCTGACCACCAATTCTAGTCTATTTCCCGCTCTGGACGTCCCCTGTCCCCTTTTTAGAACTGCTCTCATCATCTCCCAGGGCCATCAGGCACCTCTTCAGATCGCTGACAGTCTCTGCTTATCTGTTCAGCAGCGGGCTGTGAGAGTGAGCCCTCACGGCTTCTCTCCTGCATATATTCCTCTCCTTGCAGGACGGTGTCCACGTGTGATACAAAGCTCCTTCAGACTCCGGCCCTACCACCTTCTCTGACCCTTCTCACACTTCAACCTCTGGCAATACAGCTCTTTCTGCTCCCCCTGCATACACCAGTCCATACTGGCCCGACCCTGGCACAGGCCCGCAGGGCCACGCCTGATTCCATCTCTGAGTAGAACACTCCTCTCCTTCCTGCAAAACCCCATCCCAAAGTACTCAGGAAGTCTTCAGTGACCTGTGCACTGCAGCTCCCTCCACCACTACCCTGCACACACTTGTTACTATCATTCTATTGTTGTCACTACAGTCCTTTTAAGCCCGAGAGACAGAATCACCCACTGTCCCACCTGGGCCAGATTGTATTTTATTAAATGGCTGCAGTACGACTTCTCATCCTACATGCCATTCTCTCGATGTGATTTGGACATTCTTCCTATTAAGGCGTGGTCTTTGTACTCTTTCCCTGGATATGGGTGGGCTTTGACCAATAGAACACGACGGCAGTGATGCTACATGATTTCTGAGCCTGGGTCATCAAGGCCATTCAGCTCCCATGCTTTCTCCCTTGGAACACAGCCACCATGCCTGTGTGGAAACCCAGGCCCCACAAGGACACCACATGCAAATGTCGACGGTCTCAGCTGCTGGCCATCTCCAACTGCCAGCCCCAGCCAGTATCCAGCAACAATCGAACAAGAGCTCCCAGCAAGAGTCACCTGGGTGCACCTGGTCAGCCCCCATAACTATATGAGATAACAATAAAATGATGGTCACCATTTCAAGACGCTACATTTTGGGGGTGACTTGTCACACTGTAACAGAAAACAGGAACACCATTTGTGCAGAGCTCTAATGTGACTGTCTGCACCGGTCTAGACTCCCTGGGAACAGAGGCTGGGCTTCATTCTGCCTCCAATGGCACAGTTCCCAGCTTCCACAGGTGGGCACTCGATCTTTGGGAGAGAAGCTGAATGGCTTCCCTGTGTAGTATTGGCCTCCCTCCTGGGTAGGGCGTGGCTCTCTCCCAGCCTTCTGTCATGGCATTGGGACATCACTGTGAGATCTCCCCTCAGTGGGCTCCCTTTTAAAATGAAGCACTCCTCCCGCTCCCTGGGGCCCTGATGCAGCCTGAAGGAGGACCTCAGGACATGCACATTCCTCAGGGTAAGTGAGTTTACCAGCTGCTTTCCTCACCATCAATAAAGAATCTAGGGCCTCAAGAAACACTGGTATCTAAGATGGCAAGAGAGGAGGTACCATTGACCTTTGGCACTCACTCTTTGAACAGTTAATGACTTTGACAATTTGGGGCAAGCCCAAAGGTTGTCATGACATGTCACTCTGCTGAGGTTGGCAAGTGGGTCATGTGTGGAGGCTGGTGTGTGGAATGAGTCACTGGGAGTCTCTCCTTCCTAATGAATCGAGCCCACAGAGAAAGCCAACTCCCTGGCACTGGGGGTTAAGGTCTAAGAAAGTGACCATTCTTTAGCAGAATGTGGAGTTATACTTAATGATATTTACATATGCTGAGATTGGCTGATATCCCCTCATGTGTTTTCCCCAAACACAAGGGTCTCATGCTCAAAAGGGCAAGGAAGGCCACTTTCATTGACTTGCCATTTCTGGGAAAGCCGCCCCTGCCTTGTAGGGTGGGTGTGGAGGAAATTGTACAGACCTGCAGGGTTGCTTTCAGCAGGTGAAGTTGATAGGATGGCCCCACCTCAGCTGCTTCCTGCTGAGATCCTGGAGACCCGTGTTTGTTCCTGCCAGTGCCTGCCCTTTCCCCCACCCAGGGCTCCCTGGGAAGGTGAGAGGGGCCAGGTATCCCATCTCCACGATGTGGGGGTCAGTGAGCACTCAAGCTGGAGCAACTTCCAGGGGCTCTATGAAACTGTGGGCTGTCAGCAGCTGGGTCAACTGAGGCATTGAACACATCCACATTTTGGGTTTAACGAGTACAACCACCTACGGTATTAACCTTAATCAGCAGAGTGTCAGCCTACCTCCTCTAAACTGCAGAGACTCTGGTACAAACACATCCAACAGTTTCCTCATTAGAGCAAAACCAGTGTAGTATGGCACCAAACTGGAAGTTCTGACTGAAGCTGTAAGAAACGTAGGTGTCTGATACCGAAAACACCTGTGCCAGAGCTATCCCAGTAACACACGCACAAGTCGGCAGCCCCTCTCCCACACTGAGGATGTGAACTGGTGTGGAAGAGTCCAGAGGAGGCTGTTTTGGAAAGAGGATTTTTTGAAGAGTAGTGACAGAGTAGATGTCCTTGAACCATAAACCTAGAGCGAGGGACTCCATCCTGCAGAGATCAAACTACACTGAGGCTATTTTACACCTAAGTCACTGTGGGCTGCTGAAATGCTGAAGCGCACAGACAGACCTCTGTCCAAGGGCTTCCCATCATTCCGAACGACAAGCTCTTCCAGCATCACTGGGAGAAACAGGCAGGGCTGGTGCTATTATCCCGACTTGGCAGATAAGGAAAATAGTTCCGAAAGGTCAAGGTCGGAGAGAAAGCCTCAGCTATGTTGGCTCCCCTGGTTTGGTTTCTTCCTCTGATGATGTTCAGATTTATAGCTAAGCTCAAGACCATTTATTTACCCACAGATAGAATCAAAATTCAATTTCTATTGCTTAAGCAGGGCACTAAAAACAGATGTAACAGAGTTATGATTCTTACCTCCTCCCTCCTCTTCCAAGTATAATATATTGAGGTAAAATTCTCATAGTCAGGAGGGGAAAAAGCTATCCAGTGCTGGAAACATGTTTCAAGTACATGAAGAAAGTTCCAGGCTCCATAAACTGTCAAACATGTGACAGCCCTCCTTGTTCACGGGCACAGTGGGAATGTTCATGAAGCTAGAAGTTAACAATACAGGAAAACCCATAATACCCATTCTTGGTGAGACATCCTATCGCCATATCCACGCTAATCACCATATCCAAGCCATTGGGCCTCCGACCACACCCATAGCCACTTTGTTCGTGTTTTGTGTGGGTGAGTTCCAGCTAGAAACTCCTTACGTGGAGGAGGGTGCCAAGCAGGAAAAGTGATCGGGAGGCTGCTGCAGGATGAATTGGGATGGTCTCCAGAGCTTCTTGCTCACTGCCTGGGCCCTGACAGCTGCCCAGCACAGTGAGCTCCCCCTGTGGGCCCAGCTCTTCTGGCTCCCAGTGTTTTCTGTCTCCGGCCCACCCCGCCACACCTCTCAGCCTCAAGAGATCACATAAGAGAGTCAACTCAGGACACCTTGAGCCCCTGATTGAGCCCCTGGTGCAGAGTCTAGTTCAGAAGTCAGTACTCTGGATGAGATAAGCAGCACTACATGGTTGGATCTATACGAACAAAGCCTTTCCCAGCCTTCTGTAGGCTTGAAGTTCTGGCCCGAAAGATTTGTTGGCCACTGCTCCCCCTCTCCAAGACTGACAAATGAGCAATGCAGGGTTGTTTGTGGATAATATCAGGTATAACTGATGATCTAAGAGATGGCAGTCACAAGGCAGGGGAGCATTATCCTCTCAAGTTTGGCTTCACTCTTATACGCATGTGTGTCTGTGCACACTCACATGTGTGTGCATACATGTGACTGTGTGTGCGTATTCTCCATTCAGTGCATCGTTTTTGTGTGCCAGGTATTGTGCTAAGGACATTCTAGACATAATCTCATTTGCTACTATTCCCTACTTGCAGACCAGGAATCTGAGCCTCAGAAAATTTATATCACTTGCCTGATGTCACGCAGCTATCAGCGAGGAGCGAGGCTTGCTCTCAGGTCTGTGGAACTCCACAGCTGCACCGTCTGGAAGGCCAGACCACCGTCCTTCTGATGTTGCCTTCCCTGTTCCACCCCCGGCTGCCCCCTTACCCAGGGCCTTCATGTAGCCTTCAAAGTTGTCATTACTCTCCATCTCCCAGGTTCCATTCTGGTCCCTTGTCATGGTGGTGGCTTCCGGTTCCCGTGGGTGTGTGGTGGATGTCAAGGGGCAGGCTGCAGGGAGAACATGCTGAAATGAGCCTCTTTTATATTAGGTTTATGGCTGTGAAGATAACAGGTTCAAAGGTGATCAGCACAGCCCAAAGGGATATCCGTTTGCCTTGCGAAGTTCAGAAGGACTACAGGCAACCCCCATGTTCAAAGTCCTGGCCTGGCCAAGCATGAGTGTTCTGGTGAACCTTACCATACGCACAGCCATACTCGCAGCCCTGGGAAAGCTCATTTTTGGCTGGCTGGGTTCCCCCAGAGCCCTGAGGCCCCCACACAGAACTGTCCATTCAGCACTGGAGGTAAATAAAGACAGTACCTACACCAACATGCTTTAAACCTGGAATCTGTCAGCCATGTAGCTAGCACTTCCAGTCTGGCTGAGGAAGCCAAGATGATGGGAACTCACAACTGTGGGCCTCTGCTCTACTCTGTACACTGTGCTGGCCAGTGTACATTTTTTGCCTTGTTTTATCTCACAAGAGCTCTGCATTACATTTAGCCATCTCCATTTTACAGACGGGAGCAGATCAAGGAGGTTAAGTCACATGCCTAATAACACCTGGTAAGTGGCTAAGCTGGGATTCAAACCCAGGCCTGTCTGGCTCCAAAGCTCTTTCCTTAAGAGTGTGCTAAGTTTCACTTGGAAAAGTTAGAGGTTGACTTGGGAGCGTGACTTTCACTTGCCTCCCTGAGGGCCTCTAAAACGGCAGGATTACTCAAGAATAGTATGTTCTAGGAGAATGAATCTGCTGAAAGCAAGCAGAACATGGAGGGAGGCCAGCTGGCAGGCAGAGAAGCAGTGGGACTCTGCTTCAAGACCCAGGAGCAAGCTGAAGTTCACCTTGACCAAGGTGGGGAGCCTAATTGACATTTGGATAAGGACTCTTAGCTCAGGGCTGTTCTTCAATCTGGTTGTCCAACTGGGTCAGAAAATGGGTTGGTTTACTGCTCTGCCACATGGTTCTGAGAGACGGGGCCTGATCAGGGGCCCCTACACTCTGAAGATGGGGGTGTAGTCTGGAGACAGACAAACCATGAGTATCCAAAAATGTGGCCAAATTTCACTGACACTTAGAGGCCCTAAAGTGAAATCTAAGTAAATGGTTCTGTCTGAACATAGTTTGGGGGATATAAGATAGCACTTGACTCTGTAAGTACAGTGGAGTCAAGAAGACACACAGGAAGAGGCCGTGCAGGAAAAAGGGAAGAAGGGAGTAAAGGACAACTTCCCCACAACTGGAAAATGAGTGAAAGCAGAAGTGGACCAAAAGGGAACCTTGGGTTTCATCCTTTCAGGTCCAGCGGAAGCTTCTGTAGGCTGAGCACTTATCCTCCTGGGTTGGAAAAGTAGGTGTTCCCCTCCAGGTTCAGATTCAAGGGTCTCCACACTGCCCCTCCTACCCTATCTGAGTCCCCTATAGGCCTCTCTTGTAAGGAAGCAACAAAAAGCTGGCCTGGTAGGGGGAGAGGTTGGGGGCAAAAACCTTGGCTAATTGCAATAAGCCAAGGACTTGGGTTTTAATGGGCATGGAGGGTTACTCACCCTGTATAAGGCAGGAAGTTGAAACTGAGATGCTTGCACAAACACAAAACACTTGAGGGACTACTTCTCCAGTGAGTGTGAAATAGCCTAAGCTGCCCAGAGAGGGCAAGAGTGTTTATCTATTTGGCCTGGGGTCTATGTGAGTTACAGTGAAGTTCTGCCCTGTTCTAACTCTGGTTTGGAGTTTGTATTTATGCTTTCTGCTAGCCAAAATATTAAAATGAATAAAGCCCTGAGCTTGCAGTCCTTATAGACAGCTGGAAAGAAGTAAGTGTAAAAACTTTCTGGAGGGACACACCTTTGAACAACACCAACCAGAATTCTCTGTAAGAAAGCCATGGCAAATATGATTTCATAATCCCAAATGGCAAAACACACATGAAAATCATCTGCCTAAAGCAAACATCAGCAGAAACAGGCAGTCAAATTAAACTTTCAAAAACTTTAGATAAAAAAAAAGATCAGATACAAACAATAAAATAAGCATGTGTAGTGTAAAGAAAATTATAAGCACTTACAAACATAAAAAGGATAAAGTGATGTTTTTTAAAGCTAGATTAAAAAATAACCAGAGAGTAGTTGTAGAAATTAAAAAAATATAGTCATTAAAATCTAAAAGGTAATAGATGAGTTAAACGCAACTGAAAGGAGAATTAGTAAACTGGAATGTAGAGCCAAGAAAACTACCCCAATGTTTGTAACATAGAACATACTGGTGGAAATTCAGAACATCAGAATAAAAATAAAATACTGAATCTTCCAGAGAAAAAAATAAATCATATAGATTACTTATGAAGAAACAATATAAAACAATCTCATTTACAATTGCATCAAACAGCATAAAATACCTAGGAATTTAATTGAAGTGGTGAAAGTTGTTCTCTGAAAACTATAAGACATTAAAGTAAGAAAATGAAGAATATACAAATAAATGGAAGAATATACCTTGCTAATAGACTGGAGGGATTAATATTTTTCAAATATTCTTACTACCTAAAGCAATATACAGATTCAATGCAATCCTGTTAAAACACAAGTGGTTTTCTTCTCAGAATTAGAACTAATCCTAAAATTCATATGGAACCACAGAAGTCCCTGAATAGCCAAAGAAATCTTGAGAAAGAATAAAGTGGAAGGTCTTACACTCTCTCATATAAAACTATACTACAGAGCTACAATAGTCAAAATAACATAGCATTGGCATAAAAACAGATATAAGCTCATTGGAATGTAATAGAGAGCTCAGAAAAGAAACCTCACTTACATGCTCAATTAATCTACAGCAAAAGAGGGCAGGATATACAACGGAGAAAAGACCGTTTCTTCAATAAATGGTGTAGGAAAAACTGGACAGATACATGAAAAGAAAATGAAATTGAACCACTTTCTTACATTAAACAGAAAAATAAACTCTAGTTGGATTAAAGACCTGAACTCATAAGACTCCTAGAAGAAAACACAGGCAGTGAATTCTTTGACATCGACACACACACACACACAATGGAATATTATTCAGCAATATCTTTTTGAATGTTTCCCTGGGCAAGGAAAACAAAATAAATAAATAAATAAATGGAACTATATCAAACTAAAAAGGTTTTGCACAGAGAAGAAAATCACTAATAGAATGAAAAGACAACCTGCCTAATGGGAGAAGGTATTCACCAATGATACATCCAATAAGGGGTTAATATCCAAGATATATAAGGAACTCATACAACTAAACACCAAAACAGAACAAAAAGGAATAATCCAACTTAAAGATGAGCAGAGGATATGAATAAACATTTCTCCAAAGAAGACACATAGAGGTGGCCAACAGACATGAAAAGATAATTACCATCACCAATCATCAAGGAAATGCAAATTAAAACCACAATGAAATATTGCCTCACAACCTGTCAGAATGGCTATCATCAGTAAATCAACAAATAAGTGCTGGTGAGAATGTGGAGAAAAGGAAACCCTCATACACAGTTGGTGGGATTAAAAATTAGTGCAGCCACTATGGAAAACAGTATGAAGGGTCCTTAAAAAATTAAAAATAGAACTGCCATACAAACCATCAATTCCATTTCTGGGGATTTAGCTGAAAGAAACAAAAACACGAATTGGAGAAGATATATGCACCTCTATAATGTATTGCAGAATTACTGGTAATAGCCAAGATATGGAAGCAACCTAGATGCCTATCAGTAGATGAATGGATAAAGAAGATGTGGTACATATACACAAATAAGATATTATTCAACAATAAAAAAATGAAATCTTGCCATTTGTGACAACATGGATGGACCTAGAGGGTATCATATAATTAGCAAAATAAGTCAGACAAAGACAAATACCATATGATTTTACTTACATATGGAATCTAATGAACAAAACAGAAACAGAGCCATAGATACAGAGAACAAGCGGATGGTTGCCAAAGAGAAGGGCAGTGGGGATGGGGTAAAATAAAACAACTCAGACATTTAAAAAAAGAAGCAAGACAAAAATCAGATTGATATCAGACTTTTTAATAAATGATGGGAGACAGCAATGGAACAATATCTTACGATGATGAGAGAAAATACTTTCAAATTAGAATTCTAAACCCAGCCAACTTCATTAAAATATGATGGTTTTAAGAATTAAAGTAGTTTCAGATATAATAGCCCCAAACTGGGAACAAGTGAAACATCTATCAACCAGTTAGTGGAGAAACAAACTGCGGTATATTCACACAACAGAGTACTACCCAACAGTAAAAAGGAACAACCTCCTGACACACATAACAACACGGGTGAATCCAGTGACATCATGCTGAGGGCGAGCAGCTTGACACAAAAGGTCACATACTGTATGGTCCCATTTATAGGAAACTCAGAAAAAAACCCCAAAGCTAATCTACAGTGATATAACAGATCTGTAACTTGAAGGGTATGGGGACTGGAAGGGCACAAGGGAAATTTCTTGGGGAGGCAGGGTGGAAATGCTCTCTAGGGGAGGTGGTGATCCTGTGACGATTGTCAAAGCTCGAACTCTACAAATGACACGTTTCCATTCACTGCATAAGCTACACTTTAGTAAAAGGGAATGCCATTGCTTTCTATTCATGTATTGATTCATGATTATTTATAGAAAAAGGATTTAGTATTCACCCCAAAATCCCATATTATACCCACATGAGAAGTTGGCTGATCGATAGGAAGTAAACTGTACTAAAGAGGCTGTAATTAGCAATTGACTAGATGTTTGTAAGAAATATAAGCTTAAGTATTAGCTTAAAAACTTAAGAGGAACCTCTAGGACAGTGGTTCCCAAACTCTAGCAAGTGTCAGATTCACCTGAGGGGCTTTATTAAAATGCAGATTGTTGGGTACTACCCTTGAACTTCTGATTTGATCTAGGGCCCAGGAGTTCACATTTTTAATAGGTCCCCAGGTGGCGGGATTCTGCTTGGCCAAGAC